CTATGCAATAACAAAGGGCTGGAAAAAAATCAGAAATTAAATCCCTTGGTTAGTTATTCTACTTAATACCAATCAATCAACTGGACTGATGTCCCCCTTGCCCAATGAATTAGCTAATTTCTTGGCTAAGCCATCTTAATTGTTTTGGCTGCATAGACTCCTCCTCAGACTAATCAATAAAAACCCAGAAACTATCATTTTAAAGGTAAACTGCTAAGTGATTCAAAACAAAGGAATTGCAAAATAATTTCTCTCTCCAAAACTCCTTTTTAAACCTGTGAACATAATGGCTAAAGTAAAATGCTATTTTTAAAAAATACAATTCTTCCACTTACAGAGAAAAAGGACATCGAGGTGTCACACTTTCTCAATTGATTAAGACAATGAAAAAAAAATAAGCAAGTTCCAATATTTATATAATTAGAACTCTAGGTTAAATAAACTATATTTTGCTTCCAGGATAAAATACAAAAATGGATTAGGAAAGAATATTTGTTTAATTAAATATATACATGAACAATTACATACACACACAAATACATTTTAACACACACATTTCAAGGGAACATTCATTTAGAAGGAAAAAATATCAAGACCTCAAAATTTAAATGTAGAAGTCACACAGGCAGAAAATCTTCATAAGAGAAAACAAAAATGGGTTACAAAAATTGGGAGTGGTTGGTTATGCCATTTGTCCATTTCAGTCCCTTCAGAGAGATTTGCCCCACCAATGAAGGCATCACCGAAATTCATATAAAAACTTGGCAGAGCCAAAATTATAATTAAATTAACTCTCAACTAAGTGTTGGGATGCATTAAGTAAGGAAAATGTATATTACAAAGACTAAAGTCATTTCAAAAAAAATGTAGTATATTAAAATTCTAATCAGTGCCTGTAATGCAAAAATATTCTTTGTGAGTAAGACTAGAGATAGGCTCACATACACGTATACACTAAGTTAATATGAAGTCACACATTCACATGCTGAGCTGTGCATAGCTCAGAGAAAACTAAAGCTAGAACTGGATTAGTAATGCTTGATCCCTTTGCACACGAAGTGTATCATGTAATAGAAATTTAGATTCTACAAACAAATTTCTGCCGTATATATTTACACTATTTATAGGTGTATCTGATCTCAGACATAATACCTACTTCCAGTAGGAGAAATTGAAATCATGATTCACAAGAATTTGCTGAAAGCTGTATTGTAGAACCTAATCAAGAAGCACATGTTATATTATACATGTTGATTTGTGAGCTTCATAAATTCTGTCCAGGTTCTACAAATAAAAAAGCTCTGAGGCATACAACACCACAAAACAAAAACTTGGCATGGGTATCTGAAGAATTTACTGGTATTTCAGGCTACCTGTCCTCTCCCACTTTGACCCAGTAAATTTAGCTCTGATCCTTCCAGGTTCTTCCCCTTCATGTCCACTCAGCATCGGAAGCTTTGGACACATTAACCAAGCTCTACCTGGCATTCTCTCCTTCAGATATGCCACTCATTCTGCCCTTTAGACTCAGATGGTGGGTAAGGGGCGTTTCTGGCTGTTAACTTCCTGACTTGCCCCAAAGAAACTAGTCACTCAGAAGGACAGAGATCATGTATCAATAACCAAAGTAATCCAGATTCACACCTGGGGACAGTGTTTTATTTGGGAATTGGCAAAACTTTTCATATAACCACCAGTCTTCTCAGGGATGGATGCCATCGAGACACCCAGGGATTGGTGGTCAGCAATATTCATATGCTGGTGAGTCCTGTGTAATTGTTTTAAAAGCAGGATGACAATATAGATCAAGATTCATAATCATGGTCATATCCTTTGAATCTGTGAGTCCACTACTGAAGTTTATCCTAGGTAAATAATTCAAAAGAAGAAAAAAGTTCTACATGCATTCATGCTCTCTGAATGTTATTTAAGATAGTGTAAAAAGGAAAATCGAGAAGCCCAACAATAGGGAACAATTAGGCTACTTACAGTAACTCCACTAGATGAATTATGACTTAGCCATTAGAAATTATTGTTATAAAATGATTATTTGTTGTAATAAGAAATATGTTTATAATAAAAGGCAAAGCACAAAAAAATGAGTAAAAACGGTAGATTTAAGGTGATTACAACTGTATCATGTATGGGTATGTGTATGTACATACTGTCTATGCAGTAGATCCTCGTTATTTGAAAATTTCGTATTTGCAAATTTGCCTACTCCCTACAATTTATTGGTAACCCCAAATCAATTCACTGTGCTTTCATAGTCGCTCACAGACACATGCAGAGCAGCAATAATTTTGAGTCGTCTACCTTCCTGGTTAAGGTCGAGCAAGCTGATATTCTGCCTTCTTGTCTTAGCTCTCATACTGCAAATTAGCATCTTTTTCATGGTCAATTTAGCATCAAATTTTCACAAATTTATAATTTTTGTTCATGATTTCACAGATTAAAAAGGATCCACAAGTATAGTGCTGAAGTGTTGTCCAGTGTTCCTAAGGGCAAGAAGGCTGTGATGTACTCCACAGAGAAAATCCGCTTGTTAAATATGCTGCATCCAGGCATGAGTTATAGTGCTGTTGGCCATGAGTTTAATGTTAATGAATTGACTCCCTATATTAAATAAGGTAGGTCTTTAAACAGAAATACACATAAAACAAGGATATGTATTGATTGTTTGACAAAAATGTTGTGACCACAGGTTCACAGGAAACTAACCCTGTATGTCCCCTGGAGCAATGGTTCAGTGTTTGCTAATTCAGTGTTTACAGTGACTACAGACTACAACTACCACTAATAACAACAATCAACTATAAATTGATTGCACCGAGTGCACAACTATAAATACATATATATATATATATATGCTTATGGTTTTCACAGTATGCACTCTAAACTTTTACTTGGTGCTATGGACTGAATTTTGTTCCTCAAAATTCATATGTTAAAACTCTCACCCCCAATGGGATGATATTAAGGGCTGCACATGCCAAGGAAGGTTAGGGCCCTCACCAAGAACCCGACCATGCAGCACCCTGATCTCCAGATTAGAAATCACTTTCTGTTGTTTAAGCCACCCAGTCTATGGTATTCTGTTTTTGCAGCCCGGATAGCCTAAGGCAAAGCCCTAACCCCTCATGTGACTACATTGAGGAGATAATTAAGGTAAAATGAGGACATAAGGGGGAAGCCCTGATTCAATAGAAGTGGTGTGCTGATAAAAAGAGGAAGAGACACCAGCGGGCTTGCCCTCTCTCTCCACCATGGGAAGACACAGTAAGAAGGTGGCCATCTGCAAGCCAGAAAGACCTCTCACGGAAAACTGATCATGCTTGGCACCCTGATTTTGGATTTCCAGCTTCTAGAACTGTGAGAAAACAAATTGCTGCTGATGAAGCCACCAGACTATGGTTTCTTGATTTGGCAGCCTGAGCTGACTAATACACCTGAGTTCAGTCTCCATATCCTCCCGCTTCCCACTGGTTCAGAGGACAGGATGTTACATAGAGAGCCATCATTAGCTGGCTGCATTCTGCTACCAAAAGTCACAGCTCCTGCTCAGGCGACTCTCTAGGTAACCACTCTCTCCCCTGTCACTTCAGACCAAGGGATGTCAGGGTCTTACAGTGCCCTTGTGGTTCCCCGTAAAGCCCGCCTACACCTTTGTAAAGAGTCCTCTTATTCAAATATGTTTCTACTACTCAATCTCAGGGTGCCAACTGTTTTCTATCAAGACCATGACAGGATCTTAGGAAATATGGTATTAAAAATATTATTTAGGGGACCCTTTTCCCCCTCCCCACATGGGAGTCTATTCTGTGGGACTCTTTCCCTCTCCCCATGTGGGAGTCTGTACTTGTTCTTTACTATTTAATAAATCTCCATCTTTGCTATAAAAAAATATTATTTAAAAAATACAACTCCAAATACTGTTTCACTAATACAGAGACTGAGGCTCAAGAATTCCTAATTAACTGGTAATAATGTCATTTTCTGAGTCGCCCGAATCGTTACGAGTGGAATCAGCACAGGACAATGGCTGCTGCATTGCCTGTACCACTTGGCTGGTGATGCCAATGCCAGTGCGATGATGAGACATAAATCCCCCTTTGGTCTGCCTGCAGCACAACTTATTAATATTACATGTTTCTCTCCATACCCTATGAGCCAGACCTTCCATAATCTCTGGTCCCATTTTTATTTTTGCCATGTCTTTTTCTCCATCTCAGTTCCATTTGCTGAAAAGTCTCCATTGTTCTAGGGGTCAGGAAAAAGGGGCAAGGGGAGTGCTTGTTTAGAAGTGATTGCCTAGCAACCCATCTTCCCAATTCCAAGGACAGAGGCTATTTGCATTTTGGGAGAGAAGAAAAAGGGCTCTACTTCTCATGAGTCCCAGGGTGAGAATGTCTTGCTGACCACTCCTCAAAGGAACCTCCCTTCCTCTGAGAACTCCCCCTGGGTCACCTTTCTCTGCCTGCACCACTCCTGTCTCCTCCCATGGGGGCAGGTGCTGCCTTCCAAGGTGCACCCACAGCTGCCTTGGGCACTGAGTGCCTCCTGGCACTGCCAAGCTGCAGCCCCTGGCGGGTGGCACCAGGACAAGGCTCAGAACATCCTGATCTCATTCAAGTGGACATTTCTTTCCCACACTGTTCTTTTCACTTGTAGCTTTCCTTCCTGGAAACGTGCCACACTCAGGGGATGTCCAAGCCTGCTCTTAACTCCTCAACTGCCGGTGAGTTCCTTGAGCCTGCTTAGGGAAAGCTGAAGCCAACAGGGGCATGGAAGGAGGAGATATTACCTCCACCAGGAAGTTCTTACCTGACCTACAGGAGGTGGGAACCAAGAGAAGACAGAAACTGAACTAGGTTGGTATATGAAAAAAAATCACTATTCTGAACTAGAAACCTTCTACCAAATCATCTCATCCTCCACCCTGCTCAGTCTCCATGCTGAAGAAATAAAAGGCGGTTCTCTTACAAGTGAAGTGTGGAGAGGGATAAGTTTGGGGTTCTCCTTGTGTTGTGCCTTAAAAAGGTAAAGAAAACTCCTGGGCTATCTGGCTGCAAGTTAGGTAAGACCTTTAATTTCCCGAAGCTCTAAATTGCCTTCTATAAAACAGATCTTAAATAGGACATTGACAACTGTTGACAATGTTTACTTTACTTGAACAGGGCCAAGAAGCACAAGGCATGTTGCCTTGGCTGTACTATTTAGTGGAGACCATTTCATGGTTGTGTTTACCCTGGTTCCTTCGCTTCCTCATTATGCTATAATATTTGTCATGAGGAGAGTCATGGTCATCCACAGATAAAATCGATCCACAACATGATAGCAGATACATCTGGCATGAAGGAGATGTTATTAGGTTTTGTATACTCTTGCATTCCTTTGTCATTTTATGTATTTCATGGACACATATACCTAAGACAAAGAAACCATAAAAGTTGACATAAAGCTAATAAATTAATAAACTTCTTTAACTATTATAGGGATATTCCTCTAAAAGAGAAAGGGTAGAAGAAAATGATGTCACCTAATCTTCTTATCTGTAAGGCCAGGAAATAAATGCATCAGAAGAAAATTCTGAATGATTCAGGGGGGTTGGTTGATGAGCAGGGAACAAAGAGACACATTTAAAAAAATACCACTAAGTAAAATGTCACCTCCTGCAGAAGAACGTAGCTGTAGCTTTGTGTTGTTTGTTGATAGATTTGTAAATTCTTTCAGAATTGACCCTAAGTCTTTTCTGTGCAGAAAATATTTTTATTCAATTCAGTGGAATTGGAAATTGACCACAGAGTTTTAAAGCTAAAGGACTTCAGAAGTCACCTGATCCAAACACTATCCTCATTTCACAATTGAGACCTACACATGGAGAGGCCAGAGGAGATTCAGGTTTGCCCAGATGACATGCAGATCACACAGGAGGCACTTAATTCATATAAATCATTATTTAGCAAACAGACAGTTGACCTGATTAATAACAGGAGTATTATATTTGTTAGCAAGCTAATGTTGTTTCTTCTTACAAAGGGTTTTGAGGTATATGTGTTTGGGAATGAGGAACTTGGAATGTTAAGCAAGGGGCTGAAAATGACCACCATATTTCTATTCATTTCTCCTTCATTGCAGTGGGAGTATCTGAGGACACACTGGGTGTTCTAGCACTGAATGAGCAACTAGGGAACACTGTTATGGCCAAGTGTATCCTTGGGTGAATGTTCTCTCTCCTGCAAAGTTGGTAAGTTTTTCTGAAAGTTTGGAGAATAGTGAAGCAGTCATCTGGTAAAAAGTTGAATCAGACATTCTCTGGGTTTTCTGATCTGCTTACCATTTCCCCTTTTTTCTCTTAACTGCTGCCACTTTATTATTCACAGTCAGTTGTGCTTCAAAGCCATGAACATTTGGGCACTCTCTTCTCTATGACATGGAGAAACTATTGAGCATTGTCCTTATGCTACTTAAGTAATTATGTCTTAAGTATAATGAGATACCGAGCTTCAAACTTTTTTAGAATAGTCCATGCACATACAATCAATGCCTGGAGAGCTCAGATGAATTTGGCAAGTTTGAAAGAAGCAAGGAGAGTTGTGGAATGAGGACTTATTGGAGAGCACAGAGTAAGTTAGAACCATATTTGATTCTGGAAACAAAGTGCTTTGTAAATTTCTCCCTGTGCACAGAGGACCTACATCTGGTCACATTCTTTATGTTTGGGCTAAAATTATTGACAGAAATGAGAATATGGAAGCTGATGTTAATTGTCAGAATAAACATCACGGAATCTTTGAGTTACAAAAATCTTTACAAGTTATCTACAGCATATACAATCTTAAAATAAAATCCCCCAAACTAAATCAAGTGAACATGCCTCATATTAGTATGAATTTATTTCTAAAGCTTCAAATTGGTCACATTTATATATTATAAATCAAACAAAAAAATTAAAGTTTTGCTGTTGCCCAATGTTTTAAAATCTTGTATACAACCTACATGAACATGTTGATTTCCACTAGTTTTTATTCATGGCAATAATGTACTTAGTATTAGTAGTTTCATTAATGGTTATAATACACATAAGTACATGACATTTACATCAGCTGTTTATCGAATCAATTACTGAAGCCTCTCCATAACATTACTGGGTTTCACAAGTTACAAAACACTGAGCCCCTTCTATAGTATCATGGAGGATAGAAAGCCTATGCTTGGACACTTCCCTCCAGTGACAAGGAACTCCTCCTGGCAAGGAAGCCCATGCCATAGCTCTCACTCTTAGGCAGTTCCTGTTTACACTGTGCCAAACCCATTTCATGAAACTTCTACCTAACAGTTCTGGCCTCTAGAACTAGAGTCTTCATCTGCATAGCAGAAGAGAGATAATTTGTTCACATTTAGGTCATCCTTTCTCTCATCCCAATGCCCCCAGTTCCCTAGTCTATCCAGACTTCTTGATCACCCTCCTCTGAGTGCTCTCTTACTTTTTAGAGACATCCTTGAAATATAGATGACTTACTAGTAAAATTACCTCGAATTCAATGCCAAACTGAATTCTTAGTCTCTCCCCAGCTCATTCCAAAACCAAGACCATGAATGATTTCATCATCTTTCTGATTATGCCAGTCAGAAATCTATTTCACATCCTCCACTTCCATGCCCAATCCACCTCTAGGTCTTACAATTTTTCCTCCTAAATAGCTTATAATTCTCTTCACTTGGCCCTATCTCCACTGGCATCACCCTTGACCACCGGAACACTGTTTCTCTCCTGAGCTTCTGCAAGGGCCCTTAATCCTGCTGCTTATAGCTGCTCTCGCTCTCCAGAGTAGCACCATCCCACATCTTGCTTAAAACTCTTAGAAACATCCCATTGTTTCATGATAATGAAAAATCCTTAGCATGTCTGACAAGGTCCTACATGACTTTCTGTTTCTCCAACTGAATTTTGCACTTCATGCTCCGTGCCCAGCATACTGGCCATCTTTCATTTCCTCCACCATGCTCTGCTCCTTCTGCCATTGGGCTTTTTCCCTGTTATTTCCTCTGCCTGGAGTGTGCTTTCCTCTTCTTTTGGTCTAGTTAACCCAACCTGTAAGATTCACCCAAAGATTCTGGTCTTTCAGGAGCTCTTATACCATGTCAGATTCCCTTCTTATAGGTTCTGGTAGCCTTCAGGACGTCTGCTTCATGATATTTATCACAGTTCTTACTTACATATATTGGGATTATTTTATTAATACCTGGCTCTACAGTTGGAACCTGAACTCCACTAGGCTAAGATGTGTCTATTTTTGCTCACTTTTTTCTCTAAGTGCACATAAGGTGCTCCAAGTATTTGCTGAGTGAATTAATTATGCAGTTCCTAATTTGATTCTTTCTGTTCTGTCAAGGGAATTGATCTTAAATCTAGAAAATATGGAACAAATATAGTCAAGAGGAATTTGAAATCCAAAGGAGATGAGACAAATAGAGAGCTCAAAGTTGTTTTTTAAAAAGACTGTGTGTCTCCAGACGTTGTTAAATAATGACCTGACCTAGTCCCCTTGACAATATTAAATTCGGTATTCATGCAGACTGTAGGAAGTAGGGAAAAAGAAGAAGCAAAGATGATGAAGGGAGATGGACAAAGGTGATATGATTTTTGAAACAGAGTGAAGAAGCAGGACTCCAGAAACAACTGAAAACTGAACATGACCTTTGTCCCGGACTAAACTTTAACAGCAGCCACTTAAAAATGGCTTGAAAGCACTTGGAAAAGGAAGTGGTGGTGACCAGGAGCAAGGGTGACTTTATCAAGATTTAGTCATAGCAAATGATTACCCAGCTCCTGTTAGGTGAACTAGCAGGATAGAAGATGGGAGATTGCCATGGGCATGAAGTACATTGATTTCATCAAGACTCTTGGAAAAGTTCCCCATGGTATCCTTGAGAAGTAGAGAGATGTAAGCTGAACTCACAGCTAGTAAATAGCACTATGTGCATGCCCAGCTTACCACTGCCCTGCCCAGGGCTCATTCAGCCCAATACTATGAGATAGTCTTTTTAAATGTTATTATAATTATATTATAATTATTATTATAATTATAATAATAGCTGACCCATAAAATGCCCACTCTGAACAGACTGTGCACTATTTAAAGTGCATTTAATCCTTACAATAGCAATTTGAGAAAGTATTATGGTTGTTGCCATTTAACAGTTGAAGAAACTGGCTGTTGAGAGGCTAAGCAACTTGTTCAAGGTCACATAGTTAAGTAAGAGGTGGAGCTGGAATTCAAACCCAGAAAGTCTGGCTGCTGAGATCTGCTCTGTATGCTTTCCCACCTGCTCCAGATGCTCTCAGCCAGCGGACTTTACCCCTGATGAATGAGCATGCCTGCACTATTCTGCAACACTCTAAAGTAGGAGTTACTTGCCTGTAATGCACAGACCATCAAAGGATCCATAGATAGAATTCATAGAGTTCTATACATTTGGATTGAGTCTAATTTTCAATAATATTAAACAAAAAGTTAACGTTTACTTTAATTATTAACGTAGGCAACAAACCACAGGAGTATCGGATGAATATGTGAAGTTGTCACCTGTTATTTTCATATCACATTATTGTTGCAGTTATCTCAAAACATCACTTATGTTTGCTACTTTGAAATTACAGGGGTTATTAGATCTGCCATCAGATCTTTAATGTTTTAACAAAACCACATATTTAACATGCTCTAACTGTACTTTAATGTAACAATGCTCTTTTATAACTCTTTGCATTTTATTTTGCATATTTAAAGCCTTATTTGGGGAAAGAGTCCTTAGGCTTCATCAGACTGCTGAAGGGCAGAGCTCTGTCTGTGTTACCCAAGTTGAACTTGTGCTGCAGTGTGTGTGGCTAATGCCATGAGGTACCCCTTTATGACATGTGTTTCATGCCCAGACAAATAGTTATGACTCATAATGGCTGACAAAAGGTAAGCAAGTGATAGTTCTGGACTAACCACAAAGAGACAAACAAAGCATATCGCACAGAATATTAAAATATGCTTTCTGTAGTGGCAGCTAACATTGCCTTTAAGTGCATAGCATAGTATAAGAAACACAGAGTCCAGATCAGCAGGCAGTATGGATTAGAGAAGTCCTTTGACCTTCTCAAAAGCTTCATACACATCACTCTAGCTAGGAGGATTGACCAATAATGTATGAAGAATGGCTGTAGCCCTGGCCAGGTAGCTCAGTTGGTTGGAATATCATCCTGATACACCAAGGTTGCAGATTCAATCCCTGGTCAGGGCACATACAAGAATCAACCAATGAATGCATAAATAAGTGGAACAACAAATTGATATTTTCTCTCTCTCTCTAGAATCAATAATAAATAAGTAAAAATAATTATCATTAATTATAAAGAAAAGAGTGGCTGAAAAACACTTGTGGAGTGTACACAATAAATTCAGGACACATGAAGAGTTGGAGAGTGTGATGGCCCATGTATGTGCCCTGAAGGCAACTCCCAGAGACTATTCTATAAAGATCAGAACCCATCCCAGATTCAGGGATGTTTATCCAAGAGAGTTTTCCTCCAAACGTGGAAGGCAGAGCCTAGCATGTGCCACAGGATTCCACCTTATCCCTGTTCACCACCACCACCACCACCACCCAGGGATGTTTAACCAAGAGAGTTTTCCTCCAAACCTGGAAGGCAGAGCCTAGCATGTGCCACAGGATTCCACCTTATCCCTGTTCACCATCACCACCACCACCACCACCAATAACATATACACATATAATTCACACGTCCCATGGCGGCTGTAAGACAGTACTGAGTAGCTGGTAGAGCAGACTTGCTTGCTATTTTGCATGATGGAAAGTAAGGTTCAGAGACGTTAGATACTCTCAGAGCTACACACTGCATACACATTGCAGGTGAGAGTAGATCCAGGTCTGCTGTCTGCTGGTTCCCTATTCCTCAGCATACTAGCCAGTCATGGAGTCTGGAAAGAATCCAAGTTTCTTCCTTAAGAAGGTCAGACTGGCTGTTCCTGAGGCACTTTTCCAATTTCAAAGGTCATGGTTCTGAAATTTAAGGTATTCCTTTTCCTCCATCAGCCAGTAAAGCTATAGGACTTTGTCCTATGCAGTGAGCCCATGTCCCAGATGCACCTGTAATGACCACTAAGGGCAGAGAATCCACCAGGTGACTCTTCTCCATTTCCCAAGGAGAAGACTAGAGGAGCCGAGGTTGTGTTGAGG